GCGTGGTGACTGACTTTGCCGGGCGGGAGCCCCACTCGCACCCGGGGAAACTGAGCCCAGGGCAGGCTCGGGAGTCCGGCCCTCACCTGCCCGCAGCGGAGGCGGGACACAGGCGGCCTGCTGGCGGGCGGCTGCACTCACCCCCTGCTGCCCCGGGCCCGGACAGGGACTGCCCCGGGCGGTTTCTCCCTCGGGCCGCCCGGGCCCTCCGCGCCCCGCAGGACACGGAACGGGGCCGGCTCAGGGCCGGTCTTTCTGGCCTGAGCAGCAAGACCGTCTCAGGGAGATTTTTCTTTACGGTTAAGCCCGAGAGGTTGGCTTTTGCATGCCCTTCTGGGAAGTTCCCTGTGTTCCCAGTCCGAGCCGATCTCCTTAATGAAACAAACGGAATTCCAACCAACCCTCGCCTCCTTCCCCGATTCCCCGTCGGTGCCAGTTTTCTCAGCCCTCCCCTACGGGGCTGTCTCGGGATCTCTGTCCCCGCCCCGCCACTGCCTGCCGCATACCCGTCATCAGACCTGGGGGGAGCAGCTCCGTCTGCCCCCCACGGAGCGCTTTTGACACACCCCCGGCCGCCATGCCCTTGCCGGAGCTCTCCGCCGGTCTGCATGTCCTGCGGATCTCGTGGTGTGCACATTCCCAGACCCTCCGTCCTCTGCCCACTCCTCCTCCTCCTCCTCTGGGCGCCAGGGCCGGCTTTGTGGGGGGCTCCCCGCCTGCTGCCGCCGCGGTCCTGTCTTCCCGCTCGCAAACCCCCGCCGTGGGCGCTGCTCCGGGCGCCACCTCTGCAGGAGGCTTGTCCTGACTGTCCGTCCCCGCTGAGATCGCCCTTTGCTGGGCTTAGATGAACTTGCAGGTCATGACCTTCATTTTGCCTGCTTGTCTACTTGGCTTCGGTTGTTGTTTCTTGGTGTGAATCTGGCTTCCTTCCTCATTCCCCCCAAAGACACGTGACCCAAGAGCACACGGTTTGCCCTCCTCGGGCTGAAGTGACTCAGGCTGCTTTTAATGTTGTGTCTCATGTGTTTTATTTTGTGTTCAGTGTCCAGACGGTACCTTGACGGTGCCCAGGTTTTTATGACCTCCCGGGGTTATAGTTATCTTGTTCGTAAGTGTCCCCTTTTAACCAAATTAGTTAAAAGTTAGGGGAAAAAAAAAAAAGGAAACAAGTATACAGCAGACATCACCGACTTGACATTCTTAGATTTTCTCCGACAAGCGCCCATGCGGCAGATACTTTAAAATGTATTTTCTTTGCTTTTGCCATTGGAACTAACAACCAACAGAAACCTGTTTGTGGCCGGACGCGGGGGCTCACACCTGTAATCCTAGCACTCTGGGAGGCCGGGGAGGGTGGATTGTTTGAGGTCAGGAGTTTGAGACCAGCCTGAGCAAGAGCGAGACCCTGTCTCTACCAAAAATAGAAAGAAATTAATTGGACAGCTAAAAATATATAGAAAAAATCAGCCGGGCATGGTGGTGCATGCCTGTAGTCCCAGCTACTTGGGAGGCTGAGGCAGGAGGATTACCTGAGCCCAGGAGTTTGAGGTTGCTGTGAGCGAGGCTGACGCCACGGCTCTCACTCTAGCCCGGGCAACAAAGGGAGACTCTGTCTCAAAAAAAAAAAAAAAAAAGGAAAAAAGAAACCTATTTGTGTTGATTAGTATAACACTGGAAAATTTTCTAAACCTGCAAAGGTGTATTTTAAGGAGGGAAAAAAATAAGCATGTAGGTGACGGGTGCTTTTTCCTTCCCTTTCTCGTGATTGCAACATTCAGCGCTTGTTTGTGGAGCTTTGGCTGCGGAAGGTGAAAGGCGGGCCCCCGTCCCTACGCCCGAGGGCAGCAGTCCTCCCCGCGGCCACCTGCGTTTTCGGGCAGGTCGTATTTGTGCACCTGCTTCCGTACACGCTCAGCCCTTTCATTCCGAGACTTTGCTCCAGAGCTTGTTGTTTTTATTATGTGTCGTCTCTGAGGTTGGTAAAGTTCCCAGCCTTTCCCTGCTGTCCTCAGACCTCATCCTTCAATTCACATTGATGTTACTTTGTATATTTTTCTTAGTCCTGTGTCTTGACATATCTCCCCCGGGAGTTCCAGCTCTAAAATATTTAGAACCTCGACTTCAAAGGTGAGGGAACCGTGCCAAGCGTGCGTCCCCGCAGATAAGCGGGGGCTCCGGACACAGGACAGAGTCAAGGCCGCCGACTCAAACAGGACGCGGCGTGTCTCGGGCAGGCCGGGATCGCTCACAGTCTCTGAAAGGAAAGAGAGTCTCACATGAAAACAAAACAAACAGAGTTTAACCTAACAAGTGTCTCCCCTGGGACACCATCTCCCTGGGGTCTCAGCCCCCGTCTCAGGGACCTCCTGCCTCCACTGTCCCTCTTGCGGGTGAGATGCCACCACGCCTGGCTGCAGGGCCTCATCCCGTATGCAGAGTGGAACGGGAAACCTGAATGTGCAGCGGCCGCCCTGTGGGCCACGTAGCTCGTGACTGCAAAATCATGGTACCGTGTTTCCCCGAAAATAAAGCAGGGTCTTATATTTGTTTTTCCTCAAGAAGACACCCTAGAGCTTATTTTCAGGGGACGTGTTATTTTTTTTTTAGGTACGGTACATCCATCTACAATTGATTCAAATACAGTTAAGCCGTCTTCTTCTGGAACATCATCCTCACTCTCCAAACCCCAAATTCCATCCTGAATGTCTTGTGACTCTGTTTCCTTTAGAACCACTGGGCCCGATCTCTCACGTGGGGCGGATGGGAAGGGCTGCTCGTGTTCTCTCCCGCTCCGCGACGACACGCACGGGTTGTGCAGACGCGCTGCGCAGCCACGCCGGTCACTAGGGCTGATTTTCGGGGTGGGGCTTCTATGGCGCACATGCTTAGACATCCTGCTAGGGATTATTTTATGGGTAGGGCTTATTTTCGGGGAAACACGGTACCTCCCCAAAGAGCAAATCATAGTTTAAGATTCAAAAAAATCCTCCGTGAATACTAACTTGTGTTTCACCTATATTGTTTCTAGACTGCTCTGGAGTACTGCCTTTTTCCAGATCGGTATTGCTTAACGTCTGTTTTATTCTAAAACAAAGGTTTTAGACTTTGGGACTGTTGATGTTTTGGGGAAAAATACTTTCCACTTGATCCTACTGCCGTCTTTATTTTTTTTAAAAAAAAGCTGTGATCGTAAGCTGGTCTGTGTTTCACACAAACCGGCTTCAGTGGGTTCCGCTGGCTGCTTTCTTTCCCCCTCCGACTCCTTTACGAAGTTTAATTTGAGGACTAAAGTGGGGCCTCGGTGTTGGCGCGGCGGGCGTCGGGCACGTCTAGTTGGGAGAATTCTCCCCGCGCGCTCGCCGAGCCAGCACTTGTGACCGGGGAGCCGGGAGCTGGCGTTCAATAACCAATCACGCCGACTGCCCGGGGACTTCACATGCGTCTGGTTGCAGAGCCCTCGGGAGGGAGGGAGGGAGGGAGGGAGGTCACCAGGCCTCTACCGCGATGAGGAAAAAAATCCGAGTGGTACGGTGACAAGAACGCTTCCCCGTCCTGCCCTGGGATAGGCGGTGCCGGGACAGAGCCCTCTCGCCGTCCTGCTGCGGACCTCGGCACCCTCGCGGAGTCACCCCAGCCCCACTCCCCATCAGCGCGGAAAGCAGCAAACCTGCGCGGTCGGCGAGCGCTCCTGTAGTTTTCTGAGCCCCTTCGGGAATGTCCACGCGCGGGCAGTCGGCGGCAGGCTCGCCTCCTCCACGCAGGAGGGCGAGAGGACCCGCAACATCGCCGCTTCTCCCCCGCCCCCGGCAAACCACTACCTAATCATGAAGGGAAATTAGGAAGAAGAAAAACTGCCGAGTCTCACCAGCCCGAGACGGCCATTGTCACCATTTCATGTGTTGCTTTCATGCTTCTTTTCCACGTACCGGTTTTTATTAAGAGACGTAACTGCGGCCCTGTTTTTGTAGGCTGCTTAACTGAGCATTTTAATGTGAGTTTCCCCCATGTCGACTTTTTATGAAATACGATTTTTAACGGCTTCGTGTTTCCTCATGAGCTTTGTTTTGAGCACAAAACCTGCCAGGAGTCCTAACAGATTTGGGAGGGCTATCTCGGGGTGTGAAGTAGCTGGTGAACATTTTTTTGTCTTTTTTTTTTTTGAGACAGAGTCTCACTCTGTCACCTGGGCTAGAGTGCTGTGGCGTCAGCCTGGCTCACAGCAACCTCAAACTCCTGAGCTCAGGCAATCCTCCAGCCTCAGCCTCCCGAGTAGCTGGGACTACAGGCGTGCGCCACCATGCCTGGCTAATTTTTTCTATATATTTTTAGTTGGCCAATTAATTTCTTTCTATTTATAGTAGAGACGAGGTCTTGCTCTTGTGCATGCTGGTCTCGAACTCCTGACCTTGAGCAATCCACCTGCCTCGGCCTCCCAGAGTGCTAAGGGTTACAGGTGTGAGCCGCTGCGCCCGGCCTGAAGAATTCTTCATATTACTATTTGCTAAACCTGCTTTCGTTTTTCCTTCAGAAATGCATGTACGGTTATCAGAAATGCATGCACGGTTATCAGAGATGCATGCACGGTTATCAGAGATGCATGCACGGTTATCAGAGATGCATGCACGGTTATCAGAGATGCATGTACGCTTATCAGAGAAAACATAAAGAGGGAGTGCTGGGAAGTAGGTGACTCCGTAGCTGCCGAAACGAAATCTGTAATACACGTGTTTAGTTCATGAGCCAGAAAACCAGTGACGTTCATGATTTCTGCAAATGCCGTGGGAGGCGGAGCCTCCGCCACTCAGCCCTGACGTAGGATTCTGCCCCTGACGTCTGCCGTTGTCGAGTTCATCTTCATCCTAAGCGGCCGTGCGCGGGTCAGGGCCGGAGCCGGTTCTGAGCCGGCGGCGGTGGCCGTGGGAACCGTGCTGGTTAGGGATTATTATGGGCTTGCCCTCTCCCTTGTCGCCAGCCGCTCACGGCAGCCTCTGCGCCCGCAGGTACGGCGTGAGCCCCGAGAACATCATCCTGTACGGCCAGAGCATCGGGACGGTGCCCACGGTGGACCTGGCCTCGCGGTACGAGTGCGCGGCGGTCATCCTGCATTCCCCGCTGATGTCCGGCCTGCGCGTGGCCTTCCCGGACACCAGGAAGACCTACTGCTTCGACGCCTTCCCCAGGTGAGCGCCGCCCGTGCCCGCCCGCCGGCAGGTGCTCACCTGCGCGGCCGTGCGCCAGAGCCGTGCGGGGGCAGGGGCGGGGCGGGGCGGGGGTGGTGGCTGTGCCCGTGACGCACACACCGTCCACAGGCTCCGTTGTCTTCCCTCGTGACGGTCTCCCCACTGCCGTGTGAGGGCCAGGCGTGCACGGGGGCGGGACTACCCGGTTCAGCTGCACTGCGCAGGGCTTAAAAAAAAAAAAAAAGAAAGCCGGGCGCGGTGGCTCATGCCTGAAATCCCAGCACTCTGGGAGGCCGAGGTGGGAGGATTGCTCGAGGTCAGGAGTTCGAAACCAGCCTGAGCAAGAGCGAGACCCTGTCTCTACTATAAATAGAAAGATATTAATTGGCCAAATAAAAATATATAGAAAAAAACTAGCCGGGCATGGTGGCGCATGCCTGTAGTCCCAGCTGCTCGGGAGGCTGAGGCAGGAGGATCGCTTGAGCCCAGGAGTCGGAGGTTGCTGTGAGCGAGGCTGATGCCACTGCACTCTAGTCCGGGCAACAGAGAGAGACTCTGTCTCAACAAAAAAAAGAAAAAAAAAAAAAGAAGAAAAGAAAAGGCACCTGCAGACCCTAAAGTATTTCCGAGTCCGTTCGTGCACCCCGAGGGACACACACGGTCACACCGCACAGAGCCACATGCAGGGGGCGCGGTGAGGCGGTTCGCAGTGGCCCGCACGCTCCCGCCAAAAGGACAGGCCAGCGCAGTTCTGAAACGCCTCTCGCCTTTCTCGAGACGGCGGAGGGCAGGGAGAGCTGCCCTGCCCGGTTAATCTTGCTGTGAATAGAAGGAAGGCGCTAAAGGGAGTCACCCGGCGGGCGGGGCTCTGGGCTCTGATCTTGGGTAAGTGTCCCTGCACAGGGACCGTACTGTCAGCAGACAGCGCCCTACCCCCACCCCCGCCACCCGTCCCATCCCGCTCTGCCACTGCGACCCGGCGCCCTCACCCCTGCAGAGGGGCCGCACCCCCCGGGGAGTGGGAGCCCGCTGCCAGCCTGACCCCGCCACGCCCCGCCCCCACTCACAGGAGGGAGAAATGTGCCGTGACCACAAAAGCAGCAGGCACGCCGGCTCCTTTGATGCCTCTGGTCGAACATTGCTACTTTTATTCTTTTAACCTAAGGTAGAGTAAGTATTTTAAACGAAAAGCGTTTGCCACCTGAGCTCTTCCCACGGTGCTTCGCAGAAGTGGCCCGAGGTGGCTCGGGCAGAGCCGGCCGGATCCTGTTGCAGTTTTATTGGAAAAGGCTCAGCAGAAGTGTCCAGTTTTTGGGTTTTGACTGGCCTATTCATTTCTTTTCTTTCTTTTTTTTTTATTATTTTTTTTTATTTTAGCGTATTATGGGGGTACAAGTGTTAAGGTTACATGTATTGCCCATGCCCCCCTCGCCCCTTGAGTAAGAGCTTCAAGCATGTCCATCCCCCAAACGTTGCACATCTTTGCTGGGGAGGGGGCGGAAAAAGACCATCATTAGGGGTTACATAAAGATCCGTCACCCAGACCAGCTTGTTTCGCAGGGAGAAACCTGTTAGCACTCCGGAACACTCCAGCTCTGGGCAGTGAATACCAGGATTTCCTGGCATTCCGCTTCCTGGGAAAGTTGCACTGCGGGTTTCCAGTGGCCTGGCTGGGAATGCTAAGTGGGGCTGGTGTGCATCTCAAATGTGGCCTTATTTGTGCTGAATTGGTAATGAGAGGCCAGTTTGCTGAAAGGCAGATATTTGGCATGTTTGTGGGAAGCAGTGCCAGGAGTTACCCTGGCAACAAAGCGAATAGGTTTTTTTCCTGGCTCTTAAATTAGCGTATACCTTGAAATACAGCCATGACAACTAATTGCGACTTATTAACGAACAGCACATGAACAGCCCATCTTACCGCTGAGTTTATCTGACAGCCAGCCTGTGCATTTTATGCGCATCCCCCCACCCCTTAATCTTCGCTGTAGCCTGAAGAACTCTGTCCGGTGACTATGCTCATTGTACAGATTGGGAAACTGAGGCTTAGAGAGTTTAACTAATTTATTTAATTAAGGTTGGTGATCGGAGACAGCAAAAAGAGACCATTCCTCCTAGTCAGTGCCATGCATTTATTAATGCGATAGATTTCAAACCATTAGCGGTCGTATGGACTTTTATCATTAATTGAATTTGGTAAACGTTTGCTCCCAGCGTCCATGGCTACCAGAGGGCAGAATCGTCTCTGTTTGTGTATGTCCCCTTACAGGAAGATGCGTTCACATTTCCTCTTAGTGATGAAGAAAAGAGGCCTAGCCGGGCGTGGTGGCTCACGCCTGTCATCCTGGCACTCTGGGAGGCCGAGGCTGGCGGATCACTCGAGGTCAGGAGAGTTCGAGACCTGCCTGAGCAAGAGCGAGAGCCCGTCTCTACTGAAAATTGAAATTAATTGGCCGACTAAAAATATACAGAAAAAATGAGCCGGGCGTGGTGGCGCATGACCGTAGTCCCAGCTACTCGGGAGGCTGAGGCAGGAGGATTGCCTGAGCCCAGGAGTTGGAGGTTGCTGTGAGCTAGGCTGACGCCACGGCACTCACTCTAGCCTGGGCAACAAAGTGAGACTCTGTCTCAAAAAAGAAAAAAAAAAAAAAGAAAAGAAAGGAGGCCCTGTGATGATGCATTTTGTGGTTTATTCTCCTTCATTTCGGGTCAGATGATGGCATCTGAGCTTGCTGACATGCTCCGGGCAGCAGAGATTCCCTCAGACTGTGCAGCGTGAAGCGACTGTGGTCCCAGGCCTGTTGCAGCCGCGGAGTAAATATCTTTTTAACTGAGCACGATTGAACCCTCTTAGAGAAAGTCACTTTAAAATTGAATATAAGGAGGCCGGGCGCAGTGGCTCACGCCTGTAATCCTAGCACTCTGGGAGGCCGAGCCGGGCGGATTGTTCGAGGTCAGGAGTTTGAAACCAGCCTGAGCAAGAGCGAGACCCCGTCTCTACTATAAATAGAAAGAAATTAATTGGCCAACTAATACATATATAGAAAAAAACAGCCGGGCGTGGTGGCGCACGCCTGTAGTCCCAGCTACTCGGGAGGCTGAGGCAGGAGGATCGCTTGAACCCAGGAGTGTGAGGTTGCTGTGAGCGAGGCTGACGCCACGGCACTCACTCGAGCCTGGGCAACAGAGCGAGACTCTGTCTCAATAAATAAATAAATAAATAGATAGATAGATAAATAGATAAAAATAAATATAAATAAATAAAAATGAATATAAGGGGAAAGTCGGGTTCCAAATAGGGTTCCGGGTCTGCACAGTTGGGTTGTGCCGCAGCGGCTCTGCTCTTCTCGGACCCCGCGGCGGGCGAGGCCTCGCGGGCTTCTGGGCACGTCGGGAAGTGGCCGGCGGCCCCGGGGCTGCGGGTGAGGCCGGCCGGCGGTTGTTTTTGGCCCTTCGGGCTGTGCGGTGGGCACGGAGCTTTGTGTCCTCCGCGGCCGCCTGCGTGTTGCGCGACAGCCTCTCTCAACAGCGGCGCCCGTGCCCCCGTCGTGTCTGGCCGGCGATCAGACACGCCGTGCTCAGACACGGGCGATGCCAGTCCGCGTCCTTCTGTCACTTCGACTAGGAGCAGCCACGGAGAGAGAAGGCAACCGCAGGAGGCCCTTTGGCAGGGCAGAGAGCCCCGCGTCTCGGGACTGACCCGGGGGTCGGATGAGCGCCAGTCTGTCGAGCTGCTCTTGGAATATGCCGGCACGGCCCGCAGCACATTCTTCCGAAGATCCCCAGATGCTCACCCTTTGAGAGTAGACTTACTTGATTTTTGTAGACAGGAGTCATCGGGAGCCGGACCCAGGCATCACATTAAGCTTGCCGGCTTCTTAAATAGTACAGTCTTTAAGAAGTAGGCATTAGCTTTTATGAAATGGAATTTGTATCTTGTTATCTCCATTTCCCAAAGAGACATTCATTCAGTTATGTTAAGTACTGGCCTGTTTACTTTAACAGAAAAAAAAAATCATCTCAAAAATATTAACTACTGGTCTGGTTAGTCTGATGCTCTTAAGAGTCCTGTTTTTAATAAGATACTTTAAAGAAAAACACAATGGCCACCTGCAGTGTGGACTCCGTGATCGGAGACTGGAACAGAAGAAGGGCCTTGGCGGAAAAACCAGTGAAATCCAAATGAAGTATGGGATGGACACTGGTTTCTCAGCTTTGACAAGGCACCATGGTGACTTGTAACGCCACCTTCATAGGAGACGAGTTAGGAGCGTGCAGGGAACCTGCCTCACCTTTGTACCTTTTCTGCAAATCTAAAACTATTCCAGAATGAAAAGTCTTATTTAAGAAAAAAGCAAGTGACTAGATAAAACGAGAGAATAAAAGGCGACTCATCATAGTGTGTTGGTGCAGATTCACCAGCTGTAGCAACTGTCCCATTCCGGTGGTGGTGTCTACACTGCCCGAGGCCACATGTGGGGGTGTGGGGGGCACGTGGGAACTCTCCGTGCTTCTCCGTTTTGCTGTGAACCTAAAACTGCTCTAAAGAAGCAAAGTCTTTTTTTTTTTTGAGACAGTCTCACTGTGTCGCCCAGGCTAGAGTGCCATGGTGTCAGCCTAGCTCACAGCAACCTCCAACTCCTGGGCTCAAGCGATCCTCCTGCCTCAGCCTCCCGAGTAGCTGGGACTACAGGCATGCGCCACCATGCCCGGCTCATTTTTTGTATATATTTTTACTTGGCCAATTAATTTCTTTCTATTTTTAGTAGAGAGACGGGGTCTTGCTCTTGCTCAGGCTGGTCTCCAACTCCTGACCTGGAGCGATCCTCCCGCCTCGGCCTCCCAGAGTGCTGGGGTGACAGGCGTGAGCCACCCGCGCCCGGCCCAAAGTCTTTAAAAAAAAAAACCAAAACCCACAGCGTTGCGGTCCCTGCGGGCGGGTGCTGACGGGCGCGCCCGCCGGCCCGAGTGGCGTCTGGTCCGAGAGCACAGCTAACGGCCTCTCTTTCTGCCCCTCCCTTCCGTCTTGCAGCATCGACAAGATCTCCAAGGTCACCTCCCCTGTGCTGGTCATCCACGGCACGGAGGACGAGGTCATCGACTTCTCCCACGGCCTGGCCATGTACGAGCGCTGCCCGCGCGCGGTGGAGCCGCTCTGGGTGGAGGGGGCCGGGCACAACGACATCGAGCTCTACGCGCAGTACCTGGAGAGACTAAAACAGTTCATTTCTCACGAGCTCCCCAACTCCTGAGGGCGACGCCTCGACTTTACCTCGTTTACTGTGAGCGGAAGGGCCCCCCCCACCGGTTCGCACGCGCCTCGGCCGGGCGATGACCGCCGGGACGTGCCGGCCTCTAGGGTGCTCTCATCGGAGGGCCGGTGACATCTCCGCCTTTTTTATCTAGGGACTGTTGTTCTACTAACCGCGCGGCGCGTGGAGCCGCACTCCCGTCGCCGCGACTCCCAGGGCGGCTGTTAGGGCCGCCCGGGGAATGCCCACGTCCCCGTCCCGTCCCGCCCGCCTTCCCGGCTCACGGATGCGGGGCCCGCCCGTGTCCCCGCCAGGCGTGCCCGGCGTGCCCGGCGCCTGACGGGCAGCTCTTTGGGCCGCCGGGTTCACGGGTCCGGTCCGCCGTTCGTGACGCTGTGGCGTAGTGTAACTGGAAAACCATCGTGGGTGGGGTTTTTTTCCATCCGTTTTCGTTGCCATGCCGACCTGTCCCCAAACACGCGAGCCGGAGGGTCACTGGCGGGGGTCGGTCACGGACAGCTTCATCAACTGTAACCACAAACGTGTAACTGGAATATTCTTAAAACAGAAAGGAAACTTAGGGGCTTTTTTTTTTTTTTAAGTGTAAATTTATTACTAGCCAACAGAGTTTTAATATTTTGACTGGTTGGTTTAACAAAGAGCCTAGCCGACTCACCTCCTCCAAAACCCTCCTCGTGGGCTTTTCTTTTTTTCTTTTTTTTTTCTTTTTTTAAAGAACTGTAGATACCTGCCATCTCCTCCCGCACGGGTTCCCACCTGGGCTGCAGCAAGGAACTGCAGACTCCTCGTTTGTATGTAAATGACCGAATACATTTTGTTAACATGTTTTTATTCCTAGGTTTTGCTATTAAGAAATTTTATAACATTTCCAAGACAAAAATTCCAGGTTTATGCTTTGAAGAATTTATGTGATTTAAAATTTCACTAAACTAATGTTTTTAGTTTGGGATGTCATTTTTGGGTCCTGACACTGGAGTTGAGCCGGGCGAGCGTCGCAAGCGTGAGATGCTCGCGGCTCGCACCGGCCGGGGGTCTGGGTTCGGGGTTTCTTTGGTTTCGTTTCAGCTTTCGTTTCCCGGTTTTAAAAGCCTTAAATGTACTGCGGGCCTCGGGCCGCCGCGGGCTGTGTGCCGCCTCCCGGGCGGGCGCGGCGCTGCTGATGGAATAAAGGATGCATGGATCAGAGCGTGTGGCCGCGCAGTTCTTCCCCCTCCCGCAGAGAAAACGGGGAGTCGGGGAGCCGGCTCTGCCGTGCTAGGAGAAGAGAGCCCTGGGCTTGCGGACACGCCGCCTCCCTCGCGGCGTGAGTTGCTTTCGCTCTGTGAAAGCCCCACACTACCTCCGGAGACGCCACGCTGCAGCGCGTGCGGCAGCGGACTGCAGATGGCGCCTGGACGGGCGCGGTGGATTCCGGCTGCCGAGCGCGGTGGCGCGGGCGGTCTCCCCGGACCAGGCCGGGAGGGAGCACGGCGCCTGCGTCACCCAGAGCCCACGTCACGCGTGTTCTGCGGCCTTTGCTGCCGGAAAAGGGCAAGCGAGGGACGCTGGTTTCGACTCTTTTTTTGTTTGTTTTTTGAGACAGAGTCTCGCTTTGTTTCCCGGGCTAGAGTGAGTGCCGTGGCGTCAGCCTCGCTCACAGCAACCTCACTCTCCTGGGCTCAAGTGATCCTCCTGCCTCAGCCTCCCGAGTAGCTGGGACCACAGGCATGCGCCACCACGCCCGGCTATCCTGACCTTGAGCAATCCGCCCGCCTCGGCCTCCCAAGAGCTAGGATTACAGGCGTGAGCCACAGCGCCCGGCCCTCAGGCTGGTTTTGAACTCCCGGCCTTTTGCGATTTGCCTGCCTCGGTCTCCCAGAGTGCTGGGATTACAGGCGTGAGCCACCGCGCCGGGCCTGGTTGACTCTGACCGCTCTCCTGAGCGCGGTGAGGGGAAGTGGCGGGAGCGGGGGATGGGCTGTGAGGACACAGGGGCGCGCACCTGTGAGCGTGTGCACGCCTGCCCGCACAGGCCGCTTCCTGACCTGGAATCAGGTGAGTGGGTGTGGCTCCCCGGGGCGGGAAGGAAGCCCCAAGGCGTCCTGCCTTGCCTCCCGGGCCAGAGGGCAGGCGTGGCGTGAGGTGGCCAAAGACCTGATTTCCCATCCCGTCTGCTGCTGGCACCGTCCGTACCCACTCCTGTTTCTCCTCCCAAACCGTTCAGTAAACCCCCTTTTGTCTGCCACCTTTCAGCAGTGCTCACAGGAAAGAACAAGATCCACAGCAGCAGAATCTGAGGTGGCAAGGCCCTTTCGCCTCACTGGTTTTGTGGCCAGTGTGGGCAGTTTAGATCCCTTTGAAGAAGCATTTCACTGTCCAGCTCTGACGCCACCTCCTCCCCAAGGCTTTGCCCGCCAGGATTTCAGCAGGAGATGTGGTCATTCCCAGAGGAGCTTGTCCAGCTGGGGTTCCAGGGCAGGGGGCCCCGGGCAAGGAGACCTGGCCTGGTCCTGGCCCTGGTCCTTCTCAGCCAGGGCCCTGGCTGCCGCCTGGGCCGCAGCGTCCTCGTGTGTGGAGTGAGGGGTCCGTTCCACCTGCAGTTCTTCTGTGTGAGACGTAAAACATGCATAACAGAAACTTACCTTTTGAACCATGCTCAGGTGTGCAGCTTGGTGGCATTTAAGTGCATTCCCACTGTTGTGCAGCCATCACCGGTGGTCCTCCGTCTCCGGAAATACCACAACTTTTTAAAATAATGCTGAATGAGATTTAAGACTTGGGGAAATGCTTATGACACATTATTAAGTGGAAAAAACAGGCTTATTTCTATTTATATGATATAATTTCCGGCCCCCGGCGATCCCCATTCTGCACTCTGTCCTTGCGAAATTGACTATAGTTGGCATCGCATGTAAGTGGACTCACGTGGCCTTTTTCCTTTTGTGTCTGGCTTATTTCAATTAGCTAATGTCCTTAAGGTTCATTCATGTGACAGATTGCATTCCTTTTTAAGGCTGAATCATTTTCTCTCTCTTTTTTTGTTTTTTTTTTTTTTCTTTTTTTCCAGAATATTATGGGGGTGCAAATGTTTTCGTTACAAATATTGCCTTTGCCCCACCCGAGTGATAACTACAAGCCCAAGTCAGAACTAATTCCATCCCCCCAGACGGTGCACACCGCACCCCTTGGGTGTGAATATGCCCGTCCCCTCCTCCCCCTCCCACCTGCCCGACACCTGATGAATGTTACTACTCTGTGTGCAGTTACGTGTTGATCAGTTAATACCAATTTGCTGGTGAGTCCATGTGGTGCTTGTTTTTCCTTTCTTGTGATGCTTCACTTAGTAGCTGGTCCAGCAGCTAATGGGCTCCAGCTCTATCCAGGAAAATACAAGAGGTGCTAGATCACTGTTGTTGCTTATAGCTGAGTAGAACTCCATGCTATACACATACCACACTGTATTGCATATATGCCATATTTTCTTTACCATTCACATATTTTGGATAAATACCGAGAAGTGGAATTGCTGGATCAGATGATTAATTCTGTGTTTAATTTTTCGAGAAACCACGATGCTTGATCTGCAGTTCTTAACAGAGTCTTGGGATCTGTGGCCTCTTTGGAAATGCACACTGTACTTCGATGTCTGCACCTGCGGGCATTTTTCTGGGGAGAAAGTCCGCAGCTTCAAGAGAAGGCATCAGTGATTCTGAAAGATGAAGAACAGAGAACTACATGGTATTTACAGGCTCTTTTTAAACAAGCATTTTGGGGTTCTGAGCACTGTGAGTGCAGGTTACGGAGGCTCAAGGAGTCGGGATTTATCTTGCAGCCAAGCCCACAGAGACGTGGGTCTGCCGCGGCTCTGTGCGTAAGGAGGGCGTCCCTGGGTACCCCAGAGCCCAGCGCAGAAGCACCTCCGGGCCCAGGAGAGGAGACAGGGAACAGCACTGGAGGCAGAGGCGGCAGCCTGGCTGGGGCGTTCGTGCCCTGGTAACCATGCGACCTTGAGCCCGACCTTGAGCCAATCCCTTAACTGTGCAGGGCCTGTCCTTACCCCTAAGATGGTAGCAGCACCCCCCACACAGCCAGGTAAGGAGCAGAGGAAGTTCTGCAGGTAGAATGTCTTGCAAGAGGACACGGGGGCTTGGACCTGCTCATTAAATGGACTGGCAAGGTCCAGATTTAGCACAAAACAGAAAACACTTTGGAAACTCTTGGGCAAGACAGTTTGCCCCGTGGGTGCCCTCGCTGCGGTGTTGCTTCATCCTCACTGTGTTGCTTCGTGATGCACTCCTCAGCTGGTCCTGGCTTGTTCACGCCTGGCCCCACCTGGCCCCACCTGGCCTCGCCTGTCCCTGTCTGGGTGTGGGTGGAGACGGGCCCTCCAGACCCGCAGGGTGCCGCCTGCTATCCAAATGCCCCCAGACCCCGCCCCGCCTCCAGGTGCCCCCAGACGGGCCATGCGGCCATGGAGCGCCCCAGCCCACCCGGCGCACCCCAAGACGGGCCCTGGAGGGGCGGGGTGTCCGGAGCAGCGGCAGGGCGGGGGAGGGGCCACTCAGGGACAGCCGCGGGGACGTCTGCGGAGGCGTGAGTCACGCTCAGGGAGGGGCTCGGAAGGACTTGTGTCGGCCCTTCAAGAAACTTTTCTAAATTTCAAGTTTTAATATGTCATCTCCTAAAGGAGCAGATAAAAAAAAACAAACGTATCTTCACAGTGCAAGGTTAAAAAAGGCTGAGGGGAAAATGCGAAACTCACTTCCCACTGCTGAATCTGGCATAGAAAGTCGCCAGGAGTTAGGAGCCCGCTTTTACCCCATCGCCCCCCAATCGCATTCTTTCCCCGTATGCCACAGTAGCCACCGTCCTGGATTCCCCCCCAGTCATTCCTTTCTTCACAGTAAACATGTGTGTGATGTAAGTATGTGATGTGTGTATACGCCCACATATGTCACGTACGTGTACGTGTGTACACGTGGGAATATAATTTTGCTCTTCAAGGTTTTGTGTCAATACAACCCTACCGCTGCGTTCTCCATCCCCCGGCTTCTTCCGCTCGGCGTGAGGCCTTTGGATCCGCCCGTGTCGATCCGCGAGGCTGCGGTCACGGCCGTTGCAGTGCGGCGCTGTCAGGCACTCCGGGTGCACGCAGCCTATCCCGTGCTCGGCGGCGTTCACAGCACAGTCCCGCCTTTGCCACTGCGGGTCGTTTAGTGTGAATACGTCTCATGGTGGAAGAGACTTCTGGTTGGTGGTTTTTTGTTTTTTTTTTGAGACAGAGTCTCACTCTGCTGCCCAGGCTAGAGTGAGTGCCGTGGCGTCAGCCTCGCTCACAGCAACCTCACACTCCTGGGCTCAAGCGATCCTCCTGCCTCAGCCTCCTCCCAAGTAGCTGGGACTACAGGCATGCGCCACCACGCCCGGCTGATTTTTTCTATATATTTTTAGTTGGCCAGTTAATTTCTATTTTTAGTAGAGACGGGGGTCTCGCTCTTGCCGAGGCTGATCTCAAACTCCTGATCTCGAGGGGTCCTCCCGCCTCGGCCTCCCAGAGCACTAGGACGACAGGCGTGAGCCCCCGCGCCCGGCCTGGGTGGTGGTTCTTGGTCTCGGTTACTCACCGAGATGACCCGAGAGGCTCGTACAGCGCCGACGCCTCGGTCCATCCTCCTCAGAATCCCCGGTTCTCGCGTCTGGGCTCGGCCTGGGCGTCTGGGCCTTGAAGAACTCCCCAGAGGTTTCTAGGGCCGTCCCGAGGTTGGGAACCCCTGCTCAGAAAGGGCTTCTCCATGTCACGTGTGCACCAGCTCACCTGGGGAGGCGGATTTGCACTCAGCAGCTCACGACAGGACCTGAGATTCTGCGTCTCTATGACGACCCCGGGTGACGCGGGTCCCGGCCGCATGCTGAGCACCACCGAGTCATGGGGGACCTGCCTGCTCAACCTCGCCGGGCAATGCCGAGTCCTTTCCCAGAGTGCGGGACCCCTCCCGCGGTGGCTGGGAGCTCCAGTCCCCCACACCTGACACCCTCCGGCTTTATATAAGTGTTTTCCTAAACAGTGGAAGTGAAACGTCGAGCCCCTGATCACTCATGAGGATAAGCCGCTTTTCGAAAGCATCTGGGTCACTTGTAAGCTCTGTGCTGCGGAATGCCTGTACGTGACTCTTACCTGCATGGATGTCTGTAGTTTTCTTTTTCAC